GGAAGTATTTTGCTAGAACATTGCAGGCAGCTTCGTCTCTTTTTGCAAAATCATGATTTCTAGGTGCTTCTGTGGCCTCTTATTTCACTCTGTAAAAATTTTATTTTTATTAGTCAAAGGTAATGTGGTAAATTCCATGGAGACTTGCCCTTAATTCGAAGTTTGTTTTGTTTTGTTTTAAATCCCTGCTTCTTTCCCCACCAAACTCTCTATGCAGATTTTGTAATGGGGACTTTTTAGAATAAAAAGCAATCCTACAAGTGAATTCCAGAACCAGGTAAGGGAGTGTCTGCTCCAACGCACACAGTGCATGGTCTCCAGAAATACCATGAGGGTGACCAGGTGGTAGAGCAGCAAAATTAGCCTGGGGCTGGGCCACATGCTATAATAACCAACAACTTCTACACCAGATATCACCATGAGCACTGGCACAGGCTTCCCCTTCAAGCTGTCCTCCTGGTTCCCATGCAGGGCCATCTCTTGAGCTTAACTCAACATCTAAGAGCTGGCTCAGATATGGCTCAGGTCTCAATCACTTCTCTCCCATCTCCCACCCATTCCCCAAGTTTGGGCAGCTTCTCTTAGAACCACACCCCCTTCCTGGACAGAGAGACACACACACCCTCTAAGGCAGTGGTTCTTACCCTTCCTAATGCCATGATCCTTTAATGCAGTTCCTCATGTTCTGGTGACCCCCAACCATAAAATTATTTTCGTTTCTACTTCATAACTGTAATTTTGCTACTGTTATGAATCATAATGTAAATATCTGATATGCAGGATGTATTTTCATTGTTACAAATTGAACATAATTAAAGCATAGTGATTAATCACAAAAACAATATGTAATTATATATTGTGAAATATTTATTTCTAGCTACAAATGAATGAAATTTTGTCTTGAAGCATGGTGTAGCATGGGTAACAGTCTTAATATAACAACAGCAAACTACATTGCTACATTTTGCAATGGTATGCGTAAAATGCCAATGTCAGTATGAAGGTTGAGATTGCTTCTTTCTCGCCAGATCAGAAGTTCTCAGAGCTGTCTTTGCAAGAGCACAACGAAGATCATCTTCCACAGTAAGACTACTGTTTTTAGACTTGAAAACCATCGAGCTGGAAAACCCTGTTTCACAAAGATATGTTGTTGGAAATGGAAGAAGAAAGCGCAACACAGTCTCAGACAGAACAGGATGTAACTGCGAACACTTGATCCAGAATTTTGTAACTGACATTGTAGAGAAATCAGTTCTTGATGCATCGCTGTTAATAAGTTCAGTGAACTCCTCTTGTGCTGTCTCAGGAACATCTTCAACTTTGACTGTGAATGGGCTTCTGGCAAGAGCAAATGGAGTTTCAGGCAGATTTGGAAAGTTCTATGAAATTCCGTGCAAGCATGTGCAAGTGTACTTTCACAGAAATTATCATTGTAATCCTTTAGTCTGGTTCAATGTCATTTTCCTCAAAGAAAACAGATAAGGTAGGCAACATGTAAATTTTATTTTCATCCAATTTTTTTTTTTTTGCCAAAGTTGAAGTTTCATTTGCAATGACTGGATCTTTTCAGACAAATCGAGGCAGGTTGCATTTGGTCCTTGCAGTGATAAATTTAACTCATTCAAGATGGCAAAGATGGCAACCAGATAAGCTATTTTCTGTAGTTCACTTTTATCGCTGAAAAGTGCTTCAAACTGCGGTCTTGATTTCTGATTAAAAAACATTTTTAGTTCATCATGAAACTCAAAAACACGTTTTAAAACTTTTCCTTTCAACAACCATCTCACTTCAGTGTGAAATAGCAGAGCATTGTTCAGCTCATCCAACTCGTTGCACAGTTGCAAAAACAATCGACTGTTTAAAGTGCTAGCCTTTACAAAATTGACAGTACTTATAATGATTTTCATTACTTCTTGTAACTCTTGTGGCAGCATCTTCATTGCTAATATTTGCTGATGAATCATACAGTGAGCTCTGATGACTTTTGGTGACTCATTCAGTACCAAGCGTTGAAATCCAGATCCACATCCGAGCATAGCTGGAGCACCATCTGTGCAAACACCACAAACCTTTTCCCAAGAGACCTTATGCTCTTTCAGAAATGAACCAACTGTGTCAAATATATCGCATGCAGTAGTTGTCGTTACAAGAGGTTTGCAAAAAAGAAACTCATCTGTAAAGTCGCCATCATTAATATACCTCACGTAAACCAGAGACTATGAACAGTTTACAATGTCTGTAGATGTGTCAAGCTGGATACTAAATATTGGAAGTGGAGCAGATTTAATTTCCTGGTTTACCTGATCAAGAATATCATCCGGCATGTCATCTATTCTTCTGTGGACAGTGTCATTAGGTAAGGAAATTGCACTCAATTTCGTAACAAATTTATTTCTGATCATAACTCGAACAATCTCTTTGATCGCTGGCAACAGTAAATCCTGTGAGGTTTCACAGCTCTGGCGATTCTGAGTGCCACCAAATATGAAGCTTCAATGGCTGCTACGTTTTCTTTGTGGTACTTGCCACCAGTGTCAAGTCTGGCTTTCTTGAATCCATCAGCTTTGCTTCTAAAATAGTTGGTATCTGTGTCTGCAAAGCTCGAATGCTTGCTATCAAAATGGTGTTTTTGTTTGTTCGGCTTCATAGATGCGGCTGATAGAACTTCACAGCAAATAACACATTGCGGTGTCTCAATTCCTGCTGTAATTATTGAGGTAAAGCCATACTGTAAAAAATCCTCGCTATCTTTTCTTTTCTTAACAGTCTTCTCTACACGATCCATTGTCATGGGATGGTATGCTAATGAAAATAATATATAACAATATCTTTAATAATACAAAAGATGATATATGGTATGGCATAGTTCAGTCAATACAGTTCATTCAAGTTTCCTATGGTTTACCATTCTCTGTTGTTGTTTTTGCATACCTGTTACTGTCACAAGGGGGCAGTATTCACATCAACCACAGCTGAATATAAAAAGACCAATCAGCATCCAGATTAAGTTCCCATGGCACAGATTTTTGTGGGGATTTTTGTTGCAGTAGTTGATGATTTTACAGTACATGATTTTACATTTACCCAGTAATTATAATTCATGAAGTGTCATTTTACCTCCAATACTGCTGCTATCAACACAGCAGCTGCTTTCTGCACAGTAGCTGCTCTCTACACAGTAGCTGCTCTCTACACGTGTGACTGGTCGGCATAAGTACATTATGGCACCAACCCTGTCACATACACCTGTATCTGTATGGGGTGTATGTAATGGGGTTGGCGCAATGATGTCATCACGCCGGGTACTTGTATGTGGGCGTATCTGCATGTAGGCGGACCCGCCTGGAGACGAAGAGAGGACCAATGTCTCGGTTCCTAAAACCATGGGAAATATGTGTTTTCCGATGGTCTTAGGCGACCCCTGTGAAAGGGTGGTTCAACCCCTAAAGGGGTCGCGACCCACAGGTTGAGAACCACTGCTCTAAAGGCTATTTCTCTCAGGAACTTCTAAGGACCCTCTTTCTCTAGGTCAAGAAATCAAACCCACAGGTATAATACTCACCTTTTAAAAAGTGACTTCTAAATATTCAGAATTCAACATATGAATTTGAAGACCTCTTCAACAAAGCACAACAAAATACATTCTAGGCCCAGTAGGTTGTAGTGTACCTTGTATATTCCTTCTCTCCCTCTTCTCATGTTCATTTATTCACTCAACAAACATTAACTGAGCACTATCCAGAGGGTTCAAAAACAGAGAAGAGTTGATGATGGGCATATACATCAATCACACTACCAATTACTGGCCATGGTACTACTGGGCAGAAGTAGAGAAGTGGTCCCAGCGGCCTGGCTTCCGGTACTCCCTAAGTCCCACATTCTGCAGTTCTAACAGAATTATTGTCCCCTTTTACAGAGAATAAAACTGAAACTCAAAGGGGTTAATTCACTCCGTACATGTCCTCAGATAGAAAGTAGTAAATTAGGTTTGTCCTTCTGTCCATAGCTAACATTCTGCCTCCCAACGCTCTCTGATGCAGGAAAGGTCAGGGCAACTACTATTGGCCTCAAGATCGCTGGATCCCCTTCACCTGCCCCGGGGTCAGAGCGAAGAAAGGAGAGGAACCCAGGGTGTCTGTGCATGGCTTCTGCACCAGGCCTGGGTAACACCACCTGAGCAATGAGTTTGACACTAGGAAATTTGCCCAGTTCTTACATTATTCAAAAAGAAAGGAAAACAAAGAAAGCCCCCAAAGCTTTTGTAATAAATTGACCCATTTCGCCTCTGTGAACATTCATTTATTGAACACAGGCTTTGGGAACAGAGAGATTAGTAGCACATCTGCCATCAGATAGAAGACAATGCAGGTCACCAGTGAGGCTATGGACACAGCCCAGTCAGTCCACACCCCACATTCTGTTTCAGACGCTGAGAGCCTGGTCCACTGGCTGAGCCAGGAGGTATCTCTTCAGAGCACAGTTTGGGATGGGAGTCCCCTGACAGCACTCCTTGATCCCCCTATCTCTCCAAGCCTTGGGACCAGCATTCCTGGCAGATGAAGAAAACAGCCCTTTGAACTCAGAATTGTCACCACCATTAATCTGAGGTAACACTCAGAGGCTGTGTTTGAAGGGAAGGCAACAGGAGGGCCTATGGAGGTACCGGCCATTCAGACACACTGTGATCCCCCCACCTAGTGCAAACCACGAATATCATCTCAGACATACTCTCAGAGAGGATATGAAGCAGACAGAGGGAACGGGAGGCATGTTCCCTGGGTCCTAAGTCACTTCTCGCCCTTCCATGGGTTGAGAAAATGAAGGTGATGGTCAGGAAGAATCATTAAGGAAGGAACAGGAAGTGGAGCCAGCAGGATCTGAATCCTAATTCTACACCATGGCACTCTGCAGTCGGGACAGGGACTGCAATGTTCTGCATCCGGGGAGTTGAAGCAATGCCTGTTTTATTTTCATGGAAAGGATTGTAATCAAAACGCAGAGTGCTCACTTCAGCAGCACATACACCAAAATCGGAATGATACAGAGAAGATTATCATGGTCCCTGGGCAAGGATGACACGCAAATTCGTGCTGTGTACCATATTTAAAAACAAAACAAAAACCAAAAAACGCAGGCACTACTTGTACACTATAGATCGTCAGTAAATATTTCTGGGTAAAAGATTAAATAAACTTTTTCACAGATTTTAAACAGTGTCAAATTAACAAAGCAGGGGTTAATTTAAATGCTAAGGGATCCCAGCGGTAAGAATGATTATTTCCAACATAGTTCAGGAAGGCTTCCTAGAAAAGAGATAGCATTTAAAATAGGTCTTGAAGGATGAACCAAAGTTCACCACATGAATAATGGAGTAAAGACCTTCCAAGTAACAGAAGCCACATGTGCAAAAGCATGAACTGGAAAAGGCATTAGTTTATAGGTTGGTGAGAAGTTAGATATAAGGAGGAGATAGATATGGGATAGGGACAGGTGGAAAGTGATACTAAAACAAATGAGTTTTCAATGAGAAATTCGGGCTTTTTTTTCTATAACAGCTAGAAGTCACTCAAGGCTTTCAAAGAAAGAGCACAATTAAAATTTAATGCTTTTCTTTTAAAATAATTTTACTTTTTAATTGCAGTTAATATACAATATTATATCAGTTTTAGGTGTACAACCCTGTGAGTAGACATTTATATAATTTACCGTGTTTCCCCAAAAATAAGACATCCTCCAAAAATAAGACCTAGCACATCTTTGGGAGCAAAAATTAATATAAGACACTGTCTTATTTTCGGGGAAACAGGGTAGGTAATTAGATAAATCTAATACCCATCTGGCACCATACATAGTTATAAGAATACTAGAGGCTTGGTACACAAAATTTGTGCATGGGGGTGGGGAAAAGGGAGGGAAAGAGAGAGTGTGTCCCTCAGTCCAGGCTCCACTGCTGGCTCCCAACCGTTCGCCTGCCTGCCTTCCTAATTGCCCCTAATTGCTTCTGCCTACCAGCCTGATCACCCCCTAACCACCCCCCTGCCAACCTGATTGATGCCTAACTGCTCCCCTACCAGCCCAATTGCCCCTAATTCCCCTTCCCTGCTGGCCCAGTCACCCCTAACTGCCCTCCCTTGATAGCCTAGTCTCCTCTAACTGCCCTCCCCTGCCAACCTGATCACCCACAATTGCCTTCCCCTGCCAGCCATCTTGTGGGAGCCACCTTGTGTCCACATGCGGGTGACCATCTTTGACCATATGGAGGCAGCCATCTTATGTGTTGGAGTGATGGTCAATTTGCATATTACCTCTTTATTATATAGGATCATTGACTATATTCCTTTGTTATACTTTATATCCCCATGACTATTTTGTATCTACCAATTTGTACTTCTTAATCCCTTCACTTTTTTCATCCATCCCTACTACCTCTCTTCCATTTGGCTTTTTCTTTATATCCTTAGTTGTTCAGGTAGAAGTGATTGAATGATGAGTGTCAGAAGTTTAGTTTTAAGTTTTATGTAGTTGTGGGAGAAGAAAGTATTACATCTACCAACTCCACCAACTTGACTGGAAGCCTAGAATTTAGTTTCAGGAAACTTACTCTGGTAGCAATGTAAAGGATGGACCCAAGAGCAGAGATCTATGGCGATGAGGTGAGTTCAAAGGCTGCTGTCCTAGGAGGTGGTCTGGTAAAACAGAATAAGAAGTTGGGGACAATTTTGAGAACAAATCTGAGATACAATGTTATAATAGGAACAAGTTGGATAAGGAAGGTGAAGCATGAAATAAATTAGAAGATTTTTTTTAGGGAGAGGAAAACAGGTTACATTTTTAGATTTGAAATGCCTGAAGATATCTTTTGGAGTAAAGAAATACAGAAATGTGACTCTAATTCATTTTAAAAATAAAGCTTGAGATACTGACATTGGCTAAGATCACTCAGAAGTGAATAAATAAGAGGAAAGAATATATTATAGGTAGTAAATTAGAAGGAAAAGGGTCAGGAAAGAGATGACGACCTATACTTAAGAAAAATCAAGAAAAAAGGAACTCATCAAAGGAATGGAGCTTTCTTCAATCAATCTATACTAATAAAAGTCTAGGTGGCCCTCATGCCCTCGTGTCATCACAAGATGGCCACCCCAACGTCATTACAAGATGTCCACCTCAAGATGGACGGCAGGGGAGGGCAGTTGGGGGTGACCAGGCCAGCAGAAGAGGGCAGTTGGGGACCATCAGGCCAACAGGGAAGGGCAGTTGAGGGTGATCAGGCCAGCAGAGGAGGGTAGTTTGGCACAATTGGACCAGCAGGGGAGGAAAGTTGAAAATGATTGGGCCAGCAGGGGAGCAGTTAGGCATCAATCAGGCCAGCGGGGGAGTATTTAGGGGCTGGCAGGCAGAAGTGGTTAGAGGCAATCAGGCAGGCAAGTGGTTAGGAGCCAGCAGACCAGGATTGTGAGAGGGATGTCTGACTGCCAGTTTATGGGATCCGTCCTAAACCAGCCATCAGACTCCCCCAATGGGTCCCAGATTGGAGAGGGTGCAGGCTGGGCTGAGGGACACCCTCCTCACCCATGCACAAATTTCATGCACTGAGCCTCTAGTGAAATATAACAGAGAGAAAGCTATACAAACCCTATTCGGGGATGACATGACTAGAAGGTGACCTCTTCAAGGCAGATGGGCTGCCACCTTGCAGGCACACGTGCACGCGCACGCACACACACACAGGGAATTTAACCATGCAATGCAGCCTTGCTGGACATTCTGAGGGGATGGGCTTCCATCAGTTTATCATGGCCGTGAATGTGGCCATCTAGACTCACAGCCAAAAATGCACTAGTCACAGTCCTCTGAACAGAGCTCACACCTGACATGTTGGGAAAGTCAGAGACACGTATTAGATCTGTGTTGAGGACAAGGCAGGTGGCAGGCAACTGCGTTCTCTTTCCTAAATGCCTACCTTCATTACACCCACCTTCATTACACCCACTCCACAAGGCCAGTTCTGAAAATCTTTCTCAAAACACTAGTTGACAGAGTCCTTCCCTCTAAATCACACAGTATTTATTGCCATAATTCTCTTTTTACTCCTGTTGCTCGCTGATCATGCTCTGTTCCCTCCATTATTATTCATGCTTTGTGCCCTACTCTAGTTCTCCAACCAGAATGTGAGCCTATCCCACTCAGAATCTGGCATATGCACACTCGTAAACTCAGATGTGCGTTGAAATGAATGATTTCCTGGACATTTACATCCTATGAAGCTTAGACAATGCAGCCTAGAGTCTCTGACCTCCCAGTGGGGTTTCAGACTGAGCATGACAGACCCCCAGAGCCAGCAAAAACAATTCAAACACGTGCTGTGCTTGGAAAAATTAGAATATAGTACTTGCTTTGATTCTAGGAATATTGACTCTGTTATTTATCTTGTATCACAACCTTACCAGGTACTCAAATGTCCTGAATTTGTTAGCATAATTAGGAGACTAAATGACTTTCTAAAGTTACAGAAGATTTTGCATTCTTAGCTTCTTTATATCCTTAGTTGTTCAGGTAGAAGTGATTGAATGATGAGTGTTATGGAGGAGGAGGAGATGTTATGAAAAAGCCGGTTCTCAGACCACCACACACAGCACTGCACAAGAACGGTTCAAACCGTGGCTGCCATCTTTGGCCTGGACTCTTGGACTTTTTTCCTGTCAGGGCTATTGCTGCATGTTCTGTAAACAGGAGGGAGGTTCAGAGCTGTCACAGTTCTGCTGCCTTAATAACAGCATATAAATGGGAGAGCAAGTCTTGCCCAGCTAAAGGAATTCCTTGTTTAACTATATTCATTAAAACAGATTACACAGTTGGGGCCTTTCAAATAACCTAGTGGGGCAACCTACTGTTTTATCTTAGCTCTGGAAAATGTATAGTAGAAAAAAACAAATATTTAATTAAATATAGGTAATTCAATTCAAATAGTGAGAGTAAGGCCAATCGACACAAAACTATTCCTTATATTGCAGACTAAGCTATTACTGAATAAAGTGGTTTATGCCTGTGGAAGACTTGGATTTCTATGCTTGCCCCCAGGATGAGGGACCTGGGCCCACACTCTCCAGGGAGGGATGGCCCACAGATGGCCTCTCCCAGACAGGCCTGGCAAAACCTGCACATGGAGGAGCCCTGGAGAGCATGCTGTCTCACCCAAGAGTCAGCCAGCTGGGGAGGACAAGAGAGGACTGGCTGCTCCTTTCCACCTCTGCCACCCACTAGCACCAGAGTGGGCATTGAAAGGCTTTCACATTGCACTTCCTCCACCAAGAATGCAACATCGTGAGTGAGAAGGCCCTCATCAAAACATATAATATGCAGGTTTCATAAGTAAAGCACGAATTACATTACAAACTTACTGCTTAAATTCTCTGCACAGCCAGCCTCTTTTACTTTGTAGTAAAAGATGGAAGTAGGGACAGGTTCTAAAGTTCCCAATAACCAAGACTGCAGGGTCATTTTATTTTATTTTATTTTTTTAAATCAATCTTTATTGTTCATATTGTTACAAAGGTTCCTCATTTCTTCCCCCCTCCACCAGGTTCCCACCCCACCCACCACCCCCTCCCCATCCCCCATTGTCCTCATCCATAGGTGCAGTTTATGTTCAATCTCTTCCTCCCTCCCTTTCCCCTATAGTAAATCCCTTTTCAGATAGTAAATCAGTTACTTAGCATTTTCTCATATCAATAATACCACCACATGCCCAATGATACATTTCACACAAAAGACATTTCCAAATAGGTCAACCAGCCTCATCCAGGTCCCACCCAAGGCACTCACAGGTCAACACCCCAGCCCTATACTAACTCAACACATCAAGTGATGATTCAGCAGACCCTCAAGTTCCCACAAAAGTTTCCAGCCATGTCTGAGAGGCAGCCGTGGGGCAGGGGCAGGCGAGGAGCGAGCTGTTCCGGGCCTGGCTGCTCCGGGCTTGGCCTCTGTTGCTCTGGTTCGTTCCACAACCAGCTGCTCCGGGTCTGGTCACCGCCACTCCCAACCTAGTTGCTCTGGACCTGGCTGCTGCTGCTCTGGGCCTGGCCGCACCCGACCCGGCTGCTC